GATACGTTGTGTTTTCTCGAGGATATATAATTCCAAGTGCTGCCCTAGTCCTCAAGGCGCAGAATTTCGGGATCCGCCCCAGTGGAAATTTCCTACTAGTGCCGTACGGTCATTTGTCGAAGGAGCGCTGCGTTTCGGAGAGATATTTGCCCCAAGAAGAGCTGGTGAAATAATACTTTGAATCATCGCGGTTTACCGTCGGATAGTGATCATAAAAGTTTGTGTTCTGCCGTACTGCTAACTCAAAAAATCTGTATTCCGCAGGCGGTCAAAGCTAATAAACTAATAAAATAAAATTAAATACACTGTGCTGTGTAGAAACTTTGGCAACTAGCCGTCTCCCACTCGCCACGCGAAGGATTTCCGGGACTAAGTTTCCGTTTTAAACGCTAAACTTTGCTTTCGTTCCGAGGAAGGATAGGCAACGTGGATTTTTGTTTCCGTGTGTTAAATTCAAGCCACCCCTAGGAAGTCACAGAGACCTAAGTGTCAGGTTTCATCACATCCACCCTGTACCAGAGGAAAGAGCAGTTCACAAGATCGGCTGTACAAATGTTGTAAAGGTTAGTCTAATTAAATTTGTAACATTCTGTAAAATTCCACTTTTTAGTAATTAAGCTATAATAGTGGAAAAAATTTTTGATTTGATTGTTTATTAAAGTCCAATGAACGATTACCAAAGAGTAGGATAAATTTTTGTGTTTATTTAAATAAGTCCCAGCCCATGCTGGATTAAAAACGATTACCTGTTGTTGCAATTTTCAAACTGTAGAGGATGGCCACCCCTTGAGTAAATTAGTTTCACCTGTTAGGATTTTTTAGTTAGTAGTTGTCATTGTTAAGCTAGTGTTTTTACAAGGAGAAGAGAAGAACTGCTAGATCCCTGTAAATTGTTTGTATCGCTAATCTCATTTCAATATATTATCTATTTGGTGTCAATGTGCCTATGTCTTTAACGAAGAACGAGGGGAAGGAAAGGAGGAGTAGGAGTTAAGGCAGGAGACTGGTAGGCGGCAGGTTAAGGTTTGTTACACAGTTTCAAAAGAGTTAAAAGCCCACCGATTTGAGTTAGCCGGAGCATTTATTTTTATCGATTGAGCAGCCTAAGAAGAAGACGGTTTGCCTTGCCGGGCGGAACCGATGGTAATTTTCAAGTCCAGAAGGAACCCCCCGTAGCAGCACGTGTCGATTTACAGAGTGAATCTGCTGAGTCTCTAAATGCCGGAACACTGAGTACTGGGTGTGCATCCGGACTGTCGAGCGCCGGATTACCGAGCGTCTACTGTGTTTAAACAAAATTACTTAACATTGTTAAATCATTAAATAAATCTGATGCAACATTGTAATCGAATTCAATCAATATGATCGGATTTGTGTTTACTCTACAAACTACCAACCACATTTACACTTTTGGCGTAGTTTACACAACAATATTCATACCAAAAGTTACGTCAGACAGGTCTTATAAGGAGAGCCTATCCGTCTTGCTTACAGATATTAGTTCAGGCAAAGAATACTTAATAATAAGTACAACGGAATAGGTTTCGTTGAAATAGTTATCTGTTAAATGTGTTGCCTAACCACATGAAATATTATTAATTAATTAACCTCGATGACGATGCCTTGTAGGTTCCCATTTGCAATGTTGCCATATGCCATAACATCATGCATATTTATTTAATATTATTTTGCAAAGCGACCTTTGAACTCCTCGTTATTTTCACTCATACATAATTTAATTTTATACCTAGCGGATGACATCCCGAAAGGGGTGGAAATTGGTGTTTTGCAAATTGTGGCAAAACTATTAATTTTAGACGAAAACGTTAAATGTAAAAGTTATAGAGATTAAAAATGAGCAACTTGTGTATCTACACTATTTTCACATAACCTCCAATTTTCCTAGAAAAATCGGAAACTGTTTTTTTTCGTTTTTTATTCCTATTTTTGCGAAAAAATGTTGTAGGTTGTAGGGGTTTGAAATTTGGAGGAAACATAGCTTGTTTTATGATAAAAAAGAAGATAATTTGTGGGCCCATAAAGTTGAACCGTTTCCAAGATCTCAGGATTTCTGAAAAAAAAAACACCTCTTTTCAAGGGGTGCCGCGTATTATAAGCACACCGGGTTCCAACCGACCGTTAGTAGGTAAACTAGCCCGATCTTAACCATCTTTGATCTTGAGATCTGCGCATGTGCCAAATTCAAGGTCATGGATGCCTGTGAGAAAATCCGCCACTGTCAAGAATTGAAATTAAGTGAAGTAAATAGTAATATTGTTAATTCGTGCATTGTGAATGAAGCTTTAGACTTCGGGCCGGTTTTTGATGTTTGGGTAAACCTGGTTAAACTAATCTGATGATAGATAACCTCTTGTGTGAAATGTGAATACACATTGGTTTCCATGCAAATTAACTGGATTTAACCTTAACGGTAACATCAAAAGAACAATTCTTAGGGCACTACCATTAACATTGAATAAAGAATCGGAATGTACCTATTATTCAATGGTAGTACCTACCATTATGATCATTTAAAGATGTGCACTGTGCAGCTGTGCCCCTAAAATTTTCATTTACTGATTTTGTATACTTTTGGAACGTATAATAGCCTAGCGACTATACTTCATTTTCCTTATGGGCTTTGTTTAGCTATAGAGTACCTACCTATTGGATTTGGATAACGCTAGTAATATTAATTATCACTCCGACTCCGAATGCGTGCCAGGGTCATAAATACAGGATAACATGAACAACACAAGCTACAAAGAAAACTCGTCAGGTCAGACCTTAGACACAAAGTAAAGCATATAAACAAATGTGATTTATTGATTTGTAATCATATTACCTACGTAGACCATGCAAGCCCACGTAGGTATGGCCTGAAACGGCGCAAAATAAGTTTGTCTTTGCCCGATAGCATAATGCATGAGGAGGAGCGTGTCACACTAGCTGATACAGATCAAGTAGGTAGATAAAGTTAATTAAAAGTCAATATTTCTAATTATCCTAATTAAAAAGGACTAGTTAAGACAAAAGGTTGACTAGTCAGTCGATTTAGAGTAGAGATGATCATGCAATGGCATAGCAGTGTAGCACGTACCATCTCGATTCGCAATCCAGTCGAGCACGCCCCTTCGTTACACATCAGTGTGAAATTCTACGATGATCTCATTCCTTCAACTATCGCCGTCCTTTTCTTTTCCATATCGTACTTGTGAAACGCGCTCAAAATCGTAACTGAAAACGGACTAAAAGCTTATAAGGCATGTTATGGTTATGATAGCGATAGGTTTAGTATTGCGTGCTACTTGTTGTAAGAACGAGCAATTTTTACAACTGCAATGCGTACCTCGTGGTAATCTGCTGCACTTAGAATGGAAATGCTTATTTTTTGCTTAACATAAAACCCAAACGTCCTTTTTATTGTGTTGTGATTATATTGATCGTGATATTGTTTACAAGCAAGTAAGTACAATAAATTATTTCGATTAAGATCAAGTTGTAATTTTAAGAGTATTTATTAAGGTGTTGTTTAAGTTTGGTATTAGATTTTAATTAGGTAGGTACGTAATTGTCTTCAATTTTACTTATTTTGTCAGATGATCAATTCAAGGTTTGGGTTGCGTAAATTTGAATATGAGCTAACGTTTATTTTATCAAGTTCTTGTCGATTTCGCTAAATAAAACTGGTTAGATGATAATGTGTTGCAGTATTATGAATGATTTTATTTCGTTCCACCAATTAAACATTGTTAGGTACATTGCGTTTGATTTATATCTTTCTTCTGTCTTAAAAGGCTATTTGTAATATAACACGCGGTTGATTGGATGTGATTACCGATTATTGAAATAGTATATTGAAAGACAAGTGTTACAATGCGACCTATTGTAATACGACTATCTTGTGGCACGAGTGGCGACGCTAAGCGTAGCCACGACTTCCGGTTGTCCGGACTTTCTTATTTTAAATGGAATGCATTATACAGGGTGACAATTTGAAAACTTACCACCCCCCATATCTTAGTAAATAAACGAGATATTTAAAAAAATCAAAATCCGTTTCGGTAATTCGGAGGGGGAATCACAATGACATAGTTGGCGACGCACCCCCTCCAACCCCCTGCGCCCCAGCCACCACAACTTTTAAATCTTAAATAGTGACCCCCCATGTGTGATACGTCGTTGGAAAGCTCTGAAAAAATGCTTTCCAACCATACCAAATAGTATTACATTTAGGTTAGTAATTATCGTGCAAATCAAAAAATAAACTAATATGATACATTTGAAATCTGTCGTATTAAGGCGCGTCCAGACATGGCGAACGAGCGCGAACAAGCGTTGGCGAACGCAAACAAGCATCGACGAGCGGAAAGCAGAGAGATTTTCTTTAAAACGAGCGCGAACGAACAATTCGCGGCCATTTTACCATTCGTTTGTGTTCCACAGTTTTCTGTTTTCGAGCATGGATTCGACTCGAAAGAAAAAAATAATAGTAGCAAGTGCTGCGTTTTTGTTTCTGAAATTAAACGAGAAAAAACGCAGAAGGCGCCGTCGATGGTGGATGACATCAATATTTAGAGACAGAGAAAACCGTAATGCTTCAGAATTATTGCTTACCCTTACACAAGAAGATTCCGGGCATTTTACAAACTTTTCCAGAATGACTGCCACTGATTTTGAAGAATTGTTGCAATTAATAGGACCAAAAATAGAAAAAAAAGGACACTTATTACAGAGAAGCTATTCCAGCAAAAGAAAGACTAAGTGTGACTTTAAGATTTCTTGCAACAGGGGATTCCTACGCCAGCCTTAGTTATCTATTTAAATTTTCAAAACAAGTTATTGCAACGATTATTCCTGAAGTTTGTGCTGCGATAATAGACGCTCTACGACATGAAATTAAGGTAGGTAAGATACTTTTTTATATTTATTTCACCAATTGCTATATGCATAGGTTAGGGATAATGTTACAAAAAATATTACATTAAAACTACCGATGCCTATTGAAAATTTGTGAAAAACGTAAGTAACGAGGGTGCTGCAGATTCTTCTGTATGTCTGTCATTAGACTCGTGAACTGTAGATCCCATGCTCATTGCTGAAACTTGTTCTGCATGTTGCAACGGAGCTGTCTGCATAGGAGTTGGAGTTATCTGATGGTTACTCGCCGGTAGGCTTTGATTAGTTGAAAACTGTTGCTGAGAATTTTGATTAGGATTCCCAAGGCTTAGTGAAGGTGAAGGGAATGGTGTCACCGTTGTTGAAGAATGCGCAGAAGCCGAGCTGGAATACTGAGGCTGGAACTGTGATTGCATATGTAATAATGGCTGCCTAAATCTTCCCATTTCAGCGTCAAACAGATTTTGATTTATATAATGCTTGGCTACAATTCTCGAGTGACTATCTAATGTTCTCAACGTTTTCGCAACGTATTCTCCAAATACATCATTATCATCACGAGTAACTGGACGCTCTGATGCAGTCGATTTCAAAATACTATAAACTTCATCTATTCTAGGATCTTCTTTAGGCCTCTTGGCACACGATGATTTTGAAAACAAAGGTCGTTTTAGAGTGCTTTTTGTAGTCGTGGTAGATAAGGGCATCTCACTTTTTTCTTCGTCACATTTGCTTCCAGTTTCCTTTGAGGTTGCTTCCTTTAAGGTTTTATCATTCCTTTCTTCATCTTCACCATCGCCCAGGATTTCATCGTCACCTTCACCGAGGAGCTGCTGGGAATCCTAAAAACCAAGGAAAAACATACAAAAGGTTAAGTTACAAAAATTAATGGTTTTATTAGTTTTGTTCGTGGTCTTGGTGATTAATTTTGGTTAGTTTGTTTATCGCCGCTCTTACAATTATTTTTGAGTATTACAGAAAATAAATATCTATCAGGTAATTCTCTTTGTTCCAGACACCAACTTCCAGGGAAGAATGGCTCAAAATTTCGGAAGATTACTACAATTTATGGAATTTCCCCCATTGTTTAGGCGCGATAGACGGGAAGCACATAGCTTTACAAGCACCTATCAACAGCGGTTCCGACTACTTTAACTATAAATCGCACTTCAGTATTGTGTTAATGGCAGTTGTTGATGCAAATTACAAATTTATTTATGCAGACGTCGGTTGTCAAGGACGTATTTCCGATGGTGGTGTGTTTAAAAATACTAGTTTCTATCTTGACATGGAATCAAATTCTTTAAACTTGCCAGAAGAAGCGCCCCTCCCAACAACCAATTCTGTCGCACCTTACGTGTTTGTAGCAGATGACGCGTTTCCGCTTGTGAAAAATATTATGAAACCCTATACAGGATCCTGGGAAAAAGGTACAAAAGAAAGAGCTTTCAATTATCGACTGAGTAGAGCGCGACGAATTGTTGAAAATGCATTCGGCATATTATCGTCTGTATTCAGAGTGTTCAGGAAACCAATGCTGTTAAATCCTGATAAAGCAACTCTTGTTGTGCTTGCATGTTTATATCTACACAACTTTTTAAGAAATCGCAAAAACTATAATAATTTTACCGAGAAGTCAGGTGTAGAAAAAAAAGTACGCAAGGGAACGATTACCAAGAAAGATCGGCGTTTAGCTCTTTTCGATGTATTCCTCGAAAAACAGCCGAAAATGTAAAAAAAATCAGGGATACGTTTGCGGAATTTTGCAAAACAGAACGCGTTTCATGGCAAGACGATTATGAGTAGGTTATCTATATATTGTTATTAACTATTATTGTTCGTTACGGTAAAATATGTATCTGAATAAAAATTCTTACTTCTGAAGTATTTTGTGTTTTCCGTGGAGTATAACGATCTGACATAAATGCCAAAGCATCATAAGCAAACCAGGTGGGAGTATATTTGTCAGCTGTCGCCATGCCTGAATGAGTAACATCTTTGACTTTTTGTCTCTCCCTTCTATACGACGCCTAAAAAAAATAATAAATATTACATTACCTACAGACCATATACCTAAAAATAGGTACCCACCTATGCAAAAATCTGGAACTTTTAAGTTCAATTAAAATTTTAATAACAAAGAAAATTAAGGAACAATGTTTAATAAATCATTAACTTACCTGTAAACTCTTCCATTTCTTTTTTACTTCTTCTGGTGTACTATTGTAAGTACGAGCTAATTCGGACCACGCATCATTCTTTTTCCTTGTAATTTTGTAAAAGGGATTTTGGCTATCCCATAGCATTGCCAACTTTTCCACATCTTTTATAAAAGAAATAACTATGTCGTTGGACCATTCCATGAGGCTTAACACGCAAAATCAATCAACACTGCTAGTTTAACTCAACCTGTTGACTCAACTGCCACTTTTCGTTTGCAAATGCAACAGCGACCGTTCGTTCCCCGTCCAGACCTGACGATCGCGATCAAACACGAACGAGCATTTTCCTTTGATGTACCGACCGACGGCGGATCGCGTTCGCCGACGTTTGTCGTTGCTTCTTCATGTTCGTTTGCGCTTGCCGCTACGTCCACACTTGACGAAATTCTCGTGCTCGCGAGTGCTTCTTCGCGCTCGTTCGCCATGTCTGGACGCGCCTTTAAACGCAACCGGCGAACATAGACGAACTAAGACAGAGAATAATTCAAGAATGTCGAAATATTGCAAAACCAACATTTGAAAAGGTCCGACAAGAGTTTGAGAATAGATTATAACTGGCGATCAAAAATGAGTTGCTGTCGAGTCGGCTTTGGAAGTTCAAGTTAAATACGATTTTCCATGTTTTTTTTTTGATTTGCACGATAATTACTAACCTAAATGTAATGCTATTTGGTATGGTTGGAAAGCATTTTTTCAGAGCTTTCCAACGACGTATCACACATGGGGGGTCACTATTTAAGATTTAAAAGTTGGGGTGGCTTGGGCGCAGGGGGTTGAGGAGGGTGCGTCGCCAACTATGTCATTGTGATTGATTCCCCCTCCGAATTACCGAAACGGATTTTGATTTTTTTAAATATCTCGTTTATTTACTAAGATATGGGGGGTGGTAAGTTTTCAAATTGTCACCCTGTATGTATTTTATTGCATTTTCGAAATCTACATGAAAATATACGTCGTTTGATACCACATTTCGCTATACCTATAGCATCAAAGGTTTTCAAATTATTCAAGATTTTTCAAAATTGTTGACGTTTGACTGCTTTTCTTTTGCGCCCTGTATACTTATGGCTCCATGGACTTGAATTTCAAAAAGTCGTCTAAAATCAATAATACTGACGTCTCAACTGACGTGATGCTGCAAGCGAATTCTCATCGTCCTTCTACAGAGTGTTTTAAAATTAATGGTCAAGTTTAATAACTTCGAACCTTAAAGTTGACTTTTTCAAATGAAACCTGGGGTACGTTACGCTAGTAAGCCCCCCAGGTATGATCATGAAATTGATAGAAATGGATAAAGGACACCTTAATAACACGTTTAGATTAAAAAAATTTGCGGAAGAGGGCCTAAATTTTCCACAATCTTAATTAAAAGTTCACCTCCTTTTCTGGTGAAATCTGGTGTTATTTTACGTATATTTTGTAATTCTTAAGTTGGCGAAACTGAAAAATTTTATGTAATGTAATAAACAAAGGTTACAGTAAATTTTGTAGGAGGTTATGTTAACTTCTTCGTCTACTAAAATGAAATATGCTGGATTTAAAGTGTATATTAACAAAATGTAATAAAAGTAGTACAACAGGTATAATATACAATTCAATTTTAGGTTTTGTTCGACTTAAACACCAAATAAGCGACACTTCCATGTGACTGACATTTTAATGATACCACTTTTTGAAGCTTATACAGTCTAAACTTGAATGCATTAGGGAAGAAGGATGTCGTAGAGAAGGTTGCATGTGGCAAAAATTTCTTGGTATCGATCACCGAGAGGGGAAACCCGGGCACTTCCTGCATGTTTCATATGAATCGACGCTTAGCATCCACCGCCTAATACGGTCGAGAGGGGAAGGAACATCTCTCGCATTTTCCATGGATCGCAGCTTAACCGCTTAACTTGGAACGCTTATGAATCGCTGCTTAGCAATGTAGGATGTAGAGAACTACTTACTGCTATTATGGTATAATTAAAAACATGTATAAAGTTGTATATCATTGTTTAAAGTTAATTAAATCGTGGAAAAATAACATAACCTCTTAAGAAACTAACTAAAGTTGGCACTCAGGAATGTTAAGAACATCAGTACCAACTGAAAAACAATCATGAAATTTGGAGTAATATAACCTCACTTACGACGAAATGAAGTGAAGTTTGAATGAAGATTGTGGAAAATGTAAGGCTTCTTCCGCAAATTTTTTAACTGATAACATGTAATTAAGGTGTCCTCTATCCATTTCTATCAATTTCATGATCATACCTGGGGGCTTATTAGCGCAACGTAACCGAAACCTGCTTTATTTCTTTGCACTTTCAAATGTGGAAAAAAATTCTACATCGATCAATTATTACATTCCCTATGACCTATACCATACAGTGTTGTTTACTCTATGCCTATACCTATATGTAATGGGTTTCGATTTATTTAAGATTTTCTAAAAAGTGTGACCGTCATATGCATAATTATTGTCTTAGGAGGCCAAATTAACCTTAAAAACCAGTTTTTATTTCAATGGAGAGAAAAACGAAATTGAAGATACCAATAGTTTGGAAGAATATAATGCATAAAATCCAGTTCTACTCAATTTTTGTAATTATACCTGTTGTAGCGTTTATATCAAGGCAGTGACGAAGAAACGCCTAAGCAAAGACGACAATGCGCGACGACATGTTGCCCTACCCACACGAATCCCCGCCGTAAAACTTACACTTCAACTTTGCCATTTTAGATTTTTACAACTCACGAGCCGCCATTGTACCACACAGGTTATTTATGCACTGACTTCGTTGAGAAAACGGGATCCCCATTTGCTAAGAGGTGGCCAAATCGTTGTTTATGTACTGCCTTCGTTGAGGATTTCGTTCAGAAATCGTGAAAACATCTTAGCTTGACATCGGGAAAACATGTACCGGGTGATCGAAAAAAACTGCAGACAATTTAAATTTGGCGCTTTAAATTATATAGTATATTAACACGCTGTAGCTTGGTGTTCCAAAAGTGACTTTTTGAAACCTATATTTACGTATATTTATAATTATTTTATGATACTAATTGATGCGTTTTATGCAACGTTAACGATTAGACCTCGGATTAGACTATTTCCTTTCTCTTCTATCGCAAGAGTAGATCAAATTTAGATAATAAAAACGCATAATTCTGAGTCATAAATCAATTCAAAATTCTTCTGTTTTAACCGCTTCCATGTTTGTATTACTAGCGCACGACACGGATAGCTGCGGTAAATGGATGTTTATTTTCATTGATTCTATTTACAATTCTACATAACATTCAATAAATACCCATTTCACAATTAATATCTTGCTACCTTAATGTAAATAACATTCTTTACCTTAACTACATTTCCATGTATTTCTTAATGGTTATCAGGTTATGGAAACGTACATGGTACGCATTCTATTTAAGCTTTAATTGGAATGTACTTCCATTGTCATAAATCGCTTGAGGCCATGTAAGTATTAAGTTATTATTGTTTGCTATTATTTTATTTTACATTTCTAGGCAAATAAAATGAATGACTAAAATATTCAAAAGTAACCAAAGGGACCGTCTTTTTTACTAACCACAGAGTAAGTGTGGTGTCACACTATGCGTTTTTACCGCTTCTGCTAAAACGGATGCGGTTTGACATGACGAAACCACGTGTTGTACTATGGCGGTCTAACGGTATACCCTATTTTTGCTATTTAAAGTTTAAACTGAGGTGATATTATATCATCCCGTTAAACAGGAACGTTTTAGCAGAAGCGGTAAAAACGCATAGTGTGACACCACACTAACAAAAAGTTACCGATGGGATATAAATCTGCTGTCGTATACTCGTATACATTTTTAGCGCATTTCCACAAAAATTTAAAAAAAAATTATCAAAGTCCTCGTGTGAGATCGAAGGGACTTCAGCGCATTTTTGTGTGGCAGATCAGTATTCTCTTAGCCACTTTCGACTCAACCATCAATAACAGATCTTGTCGAAGGCTACTACATTCACTAACCGTTTCCCACTTTCCGCGTGCACCCGCAATTCGCTTTTAAAGTTAAAATCGTGTCGGGGGCTACCACATTCCCTTTGACGGTAGCCACTTCCGACGTCCCGTTCACCCACCCGCAATTCGCTTCTATTGGCGACACGAGAAAGAGAGACAGCGATTCGAGATTTACGAAACGTTAAACCGCGTGAGTTCGCAACGGAAGGTAAAAGGCGCCCGAAGTTGACTACTTCTCAAAGACGCGCGCGCAAAAGGTCGTTAATTTCGCCCCTAGGACAAAAAACAAAATTTCGCCACGCAGGACTTGTGCGCGTTTACAACATCTTTCCGACGACACCAATTTGAAAAGAATCGGACCAAAACTGTCGTAGAAGATAGGAAAAAACTGAAAAACCTTCACGTTAGTATACTACGCTCGAGGATGACGCCCAGATGTCGCCAACCCCACATCATGTAGCCATGTCCCTAAGGTTGACAAATTTCACGGCCTTGTAGATACACGTACACCCGTTGCCTTTCTACAAGAGTTCTTCTACGCGCCCACATTTGCAGCCAGCCAGCCAGCCAAAGTGAGATTAAAAGCTACTTTTCACAAATAAATTTGCAAAAATGCGCTAAAAAGTGCTACTTTATCCGTCCGTCTCTACAGCCGTTCGGTCGCTACCGGTGCTTATCTTAAGAGCTATTGCTCTACTTTTTAGCGCATTTTTTAAGAATTAAAAAAAATGTGCTATTGTTTGCGTCTTGTCCGTCCGGACCCACTTCTGCCGTTTCAAACTACTTCTAGGGGAATGGTCCTATAGAGTCCTGGAAGTTTAGTTGCAGTAGGTAGCCTATACCTTGAAGGTGTGCCAGACGGCCATCAAATTACGCTGTCTAAAAGGGGAGCCCCCCCCCCCCACGAATTATTTCCTAAGATGCTGTTTTTGAAAGTAAAACGTGCATAACTTTTACATACGACAACCAATTGTTTTCAGATTTTGCATACGCATGCCTTTAATGGTGCCAGGTTAAACTGTAGAAAATGGCGGGGGGGAACACATGTTCTACCATCCATGGTATTCTAATGAAAGGTCTGATCGAAATAGATTGGTTTGTACAAACTATAACTTTCCCGTGCGACTCTTTTTCGAGATCAGCGAGCGACGGGGCCTGAGAGGGGGGGGGGGGTTAAAAATAAATTTTACCTCATTGTATTTTAATTAAAGGTCTCAACGAAAGGAACCGTTTTCTACCAACTACTGCCCTTCTTTCTGTCCTCTTATCAAAGTACGGGGGGAGGGGAAGGGGGCGAGGAGTGGAACTAGCCGAGGAACTAGCTTTATCCTTCATGGTACTCTAATGAAAGGTCTCAACGAAAGGAACCGTTTT